GGCATAGACTGTACTTTGAAACACAGCATTGTGATGCAACATAATGTATAAGCAACAACCTCCTTGTCTATATGAATACAACAAATCTTAATTTCCCTTTGGAGCAGTACCAGGAAAGACCAGGTCTACTGGGTGCACCCGATGCCTGGGAACTCCCAAAACTCATTATCGCCACACTGCAGAAAGCAAGAGGACATCTAATGTTTTCCTTACAGATTGTCAGTGTTTACGGACAAGAGACAGATTTTATAGGTGGCCTACACTGCCTACACTGAGATTTATATTTTGGGTACTTCCCCTCCTTCTCAATGTGGAATGTGTGAGTTATTTGTATGCTTTGCCAGAGATGATGTGTGTTGGCAGCTGTGTACGGTGGAAAGGCATTGCTAATAGAAGAAAGTTGGAGCTACAGCCAAATGCACCCTGTGGTGCATTCATTTGTCACATTAAGAAGCACATACCACAGGATTCGGGGATTAAATCCCACCTTTGAAATGTTTGCCACATAAATGAAACAGGGGATATATAAAAGTCAGGTGCAGGCTTTGATTTGAATATCATAAATATTTGAAACCTCTTCATTGGGTGTCAAAGTGTCTCGGTTTGTGAGCATGAAACTCATACAAATGTCCACTGACAATGAAATATTTACATTGCTACGTAAAACTCTTGAGTTTGCGCAATAAAACATTTGGCTTTTTCAGAGAAAATCTTTTTTTTTTTTAAATATGCTTGCATTTGCCTGATTTTACTTAAAATACAAAAAAAAGCAAAGCACGTAGTCTGTGGTCATAACATCTTCTTTGTTGTAAAAACAAAAACAAAAAAAAAGAACAACTTGAGCATCAACCTCAATAAAAATAGGCAAAAATCAATCAGTCATATTATACTGAAAGTTCACAATTCATGACAAGTTATTTATTACATAAATTAAGACAAGCCGATGGATATATGAGTTTAACTTAGATTGTTTCTGACTACTTTGTGCATGCCAACAGAACAGCCAGTGGCTCATTACTGTCAGCTACATAAGAAGGGTGGTGTTCAGTAAAGGCGGTCGAGGGGAGTTAGTTATGCTTCATCAGGAGATGCTGCAACAGGGCTGCAGGGAAAACTGATGTCTGGAGAGTACATGCTGGTGTTTGAAGTCAGTCACCTGGCAGCTAGGTCATTCAGTGGGGTCTCTCTCTGCTGCAGATCAAAGATTATCTTTAATGAGCCTTGCAGTGTGTGAATCACAGAAAACAGATAGCAGCCCACACAGGGCGTTCCCACGCATATTAAAGGAGGAAAACGAGTGCGGTTACCCCCACATTTTGTACAGTGTTCTTGTTTGAAAAGTCTCCACGTACAGAAAGCCCTACTGATGCATTGGGTTGTGCTATTTAACGGCTTAATTACTTTTGGCTCCAATGTTCACGGTACTAAAGTGCCTCAGAGTTTGGTTCTTCACTCCAAGTGAGATTTGCTTGAATCGACTCCTTTCTGCATTCTCACCGCATCTCCCACAGAGGACAAGGCAAATGAGATCAATAACAAATTAAAAGGTGGCGGTTTCACTTTAGATGTATTTTCGAACATGATGAGAAAACAACACTTCTTTGTGATTTACTGTTGTGTGACTGACGTGCTTGAGTGGCGACCGGCGGCGAGTCTGTAATACCTTGTTTTTCTCAGTCGGTCTAAGCAAACCTGCACAGGTGTCTCGATCTCTCGTCACTGTTAAAGCTCCTCCTGGGGGATCCCGAGGTGTTCCCAAACCAGAGGGGATATTTATAGTTCCTCCAGCATGAGCCTCCTCCCTGTTAGATGTGCCCACAATATTTCCCTTGGGAGGAGTCCAGGATGGCCAGATTGCCTCAGCTGGTAATGTGTAGAAGCAGCAGGTGTAGTCTGAGCTTCCACATAATGTCAGAGCACCTCGCCCCGTTCCTGAGTCCAAAGAGGCAACGAATGAAACTCAGGCCGCGTCTACACATAGCCGGGTATTTACAAAAACAGATATACGCTTTCAAAAACAACATTGTTCACACCAAAATCTTTCTTTACGCAAACCCACATAGACACGTCATTAAGAGCTGCTATGAGCACTACAAACCTATAGGGGGCAGTGCAACAAGAAGCATAAAGCCACGCTAGCCAATCAGAATCCTGGAGAAAACACAACAACGAATGGCACGAATTGCTTCCTGTTACTTCAACGATAATGGCGCAAGGGTTGTTTGTTTGGACCGACAGAGAAGTGGAGCTACTCCTAAATGTGGTGTTAGAGCACAAAACGAGTAAAATACTTGAAAATATTAACTGTAAAAACAAGCACTGCTTTAACAGCATCCGTTTCTATCACAGTAGCCAAACTGTGAACATGGGTCGCACACATATGACACGGACAACGCTTTTGTCGCATAATGTTACGTCAAACTCTGTCTCCTCCTGTCAAACACAAAGACGGAGTTTTTCCAAATCTCCACATTGGCCGAAGTTTTCAGATATGATCGTTTTCTGTGACTTGTAGCTTCATTTACGAGTAAACCAAAGGCCCAAGCTCATTGAAATAGCACCGTTTTATGCTACGTGTAAGCGGGGGATCAGTTCAGCTGCTTTTGTCTGCAATCTGTAAGTTCTTTCGCTCATTAACCAGAGTTTGTGGCTATAGGTGAGAATAATAACATAGGTTGAGGGCTTTGTATTGCGACTCAGCTTCTTCTTCACCATGACAGACTGGAACAGCGTCCGCACCACCTGTCCACAGCGCTCCTCCTTGATTTGCTACCTTATCTCCATGGAGGGCTTCCTGTGTCCCACTGATCCTGGGAGCTACATTGTCAGGAGCATAATCTCCTGGTGGGGTTTCTCACGGTACATTGAACGCAGGTGAGGGGCCAGATAAAGAGCGATTTACAGCTGACCTACATGAAGTGAAGCTTGAAGGACAGAGACACCCTGCCTGGAAAAGAAAATCAGGGTCTCTTCCTGGAGCCAGAATGTCTTTCAACTCAGTGTTTTGGTTTTCTAACCCAAAACTGTACTGTTTTGTTGAGTAAGCAAGAAGCTGTTTTCAGCAAAAAAGGGTATAATGAGCTCTGTATAAAACCTGCACAGCACCAAGTACAGACAAACATGCTAAATAAGACAAATCAGTTTGACCAACTCCATGAAGGAACATTTTTAAGCTTACCCTAAAACTGCAGGCTAAATGAAGGCTGTACATAAGTTATAGTGTGACACCATTTAGTCCAAGATGGCTCCTGGGTGGAATTTGCAAAGACATTTTTGGAGACAAGAAACTTCAATTCTTGGAGTTCATCAATCATCCAGCCCTGTCACAGTGTACTAACTATGTGGGTGGATAGCATAGCTTGCACATTTGTACCTTACTCACTGTAATCTGGATCAATAGCGTACAGCCATCAGGTCAATATTCCTACAGCAACAGTTAAAGAGGCTTTAAAGCGAATCCAGAAAACCATCGACTCCTCCTCGGAGAAAGAACTGGCGACAAAGCTACAATTAATGATAGTCTCACACATCTCTGCCTCCCAGGAATACTTCTTGTTTCGTAGGAGTGTAAGATAAAATAAAAGCCCCTCAGCTTCACCGCACCTCATGCATCATCACTGATTTGTACCGGCAGCCTAAGCGTAATCTTAGATTTTACCGATTTACTGGCAATTCGATAGAGAAAAACTGTGAAAGGTAAAACTCTTGTAAGCTGTAGCACGAATCATGTCCAGGGTATGTAATGCTGCTTTATGTCAGGATATGCGAGAAATGGGACTCTAATGGTCTTGTTAGTTAGTTTTACTGTACAATGCAGGGGTGTCCAATCCTGGTCCTCGAGGGCCACAATCCAGGATGTTTTAGATGTTTCCCTCTTCCAACACACCTGATTCAAATCAGTTATCAGGCTTCTGCAGAGCTTGATGATGAGCTGATCCTTTGAATCAGGTGTGTTGGAAGAGGGAAACATCTGAAACATGCAGGATTGTGGCCCTCGAGGACCAGGATTGGACACCCCTGGTATAATGTGTTCCGTGGCTTTTGTTTTTTTTGGGGGGATTGCTTATTGCATTGTTTATTTGTGCTCTGTGCTGCGTACAGTTATTACTGCGTGTAAATAATAACGTAATGACAAACGCTGCGGTATCTCCCCAACAAGCCGCCCACAGAGACCCTCCAACCAGCAAATGACTTCATTAGGCTGTGCTGGTGCAAAGTGCTTTCTGCTGCACTGTTTAGCGACAGATCTGCTGCCAGTGCAGTTGTACTGTTGACAGTCCTGCTTTTTCGCATCAACTAAGCTGACAGGCAATTTTGGTCAAGAGCATTAGAATTGCATCTGGGCAGCAAACATGCTAACATGAAAAAAAAAAAAAAGCTTATCAGGGGATAATTCTGGTCTTAGATTAGCCAAATCTCTCTAAAAATTAACTAAATGACATCTTTCTGAGCACAGTGTTTACCAGAAGAGGTAAGGGTAACTGCATCTAAACCATCATACACATGCTTTTCTCACTGGTATTCTATAATATTATATTTCCCCTATATTATAAGTTCAAGGTAGAGAAACATGACATTCATGGGAAAAGTAAATAACCTTTGCAAAAATGTTGGAAGATCTATAAAAATATTGTTGCTACAAATAGCTATGCATATGGCATGTAGACAGAAGTACATTCTTCTGTGACGCTCTATCGTTGTTGCGTAAAATATTTGTGGACAGATTACTTCTTAAGCAACAAAAGTTTATGAGAAGAGGCTGGACACAGATAGACACACATGTGCATTTATATAATTCTGGCCTCGAGATCGTCGTCAGTTAAAATACCAACATGATCCAACTTTAAAACGAGGATTTTAACAAGGCGAATAAAAATCCGTCTTCTATGTAGCACCAACTAACTAATAGTCAAAAGGACTAATTCATGAAAACACAAACTACCTTGTTACCAAAGCAGACTACTGGCCTTGAACCAGACAAGTCAAGTAGTCATACTTACCGAGATGATGGCAGCCAGAGTCTCTATAGCCCCTGTGCTCAGTGTGATGTAGGGGATTAAGTTCTCCGCAAAGCCCGCTTCCCGAAGGATCCCATTGGTGTAGTACCAGAGCTACGAGAAGATAAATCAGATGACATTGGTTCTTCATGTGTTTTGCATGAACAACACACAATTTCACATTGCTAAATGCACTTAAATAATTTCACATTATAAACATTCATATCAAATTTGAACCTATGTGAATGAAAGATGAAAGAAATTAAATGCCCTTGATGAGTTGTGTCAGAATCCAACTCATCACTTGAAAATGTTGAAAGAGATTCCTCAGTCAGAACCTTCGTCATCTATACATCAGCAGTCTAACACCAGCATGAATCTTACTAAGAAGAGTTTATAAAACACTTGACTGATTGCAGTGAGCTCAGTAGGCTGAGAGCAAACAAAGCAGAGTTATAAAACACATTCACACAGTTCAAAAACTCGCCCCGCAGCTCAAATGCAACGTGATTTTGCATATGCATCGTTTGTCTTTGTAGTCTCTCCTCCTGTGCTATTCTTTCCAATGATCCTTTTCACAGAAAAACAATAAGTCGACAGTCATAAATTAGAAGGTTTGACAAGGTGAAACAATTACACTGTGAGAATAGCTGCAGGCATACTTCTCATCTATCAACTTAGTTTCAGCACTTCAGAGGTTTATAGCAATAAGTTACTGAAAACTTACCACGTTTTTTCAGACTGTCATATTTACTGGAATCATTGGACTGATGGTGAGGAGGTTGTGAATACGCTATGACTATTAAAATACAGACCTCCAGAGTCTTCACATACATCGTCATTCCTGTCTTCTTGGAATGAGAACGAATGTAAATGCAGTTGAATGAATTTTAAAATCTACTAGAATTCAGATGGGATTTCTGGATTCTTTGCAAACTGCTAGAAGTCCATCAATCTATCAAGTATGAAGATTTAATTACAAAAAATAAGCTCAAACTTTGTTACTGTTTCATCGTTTTTTAAATTCCCAGCCATCCTTCATGTTAGTTGAGCCTTAACAGATATATAGCAGTTTGCTGACATTTTTTTTTTTTCAACAAAACAGGATCTCACCTTTCTGTTGTATTGAAATACGAATCAGTGTCTTTTAAAGGTCATTTGAACAACTTTTTTCATTTAGAGTTTAGCGAGTTGTTGAGGTTGCAGTCCTTAGAATTCAAATAATCTGAAGTTAGGTTTTCTCCAGTTCATTTTTGTCATTCTTTATATTTAAAGTGATGAATGGCAGCAACAAGCAGCAGCTCATGTCCTTGTGCAGGTCTATTCTTGGCATCTGTGTGCTCAAGACAGAGAAGGTAGGACCTATAATTGGACAACAGTCATCACCACCCCAGTGCACTACAACACAGCGGGAGGAGGATGGTTAAACACCTCGCGCTGTCAACAAAGTACACAAGACACATTGACTCGCAGTGACTTCTCCTCGCCCACGAGTTCCCATTCACAGTCGTGGTAAACACAAACATAAAGAGAGAGTGAGTCACTCGAACTGGAGCGAGAACCTAATTGCACAAGAACTCTTAGTTTCATTATCATTATCTTTACATTTTAACCTTTTCTTTCAACCCTGTATGAAAATACGGCCGATGAAATAACACCTACATGCAGAGGAGGATTTTAAAACATTACCTTTTCAAACAAAACAGCTTCCTTCAGAGATCATGCATATGGGGTCACACCTGCACAGACTCCAGGGAAGGTCTGTGCAATCTGATCCACACCTGAGCCACTGATGAACAGGCCTGTGAGAGTGCTGTTTTAGTTTTTCGGTCGTTTTCAGCAGAACACACCTGAGAGATTCTGCTGAAAACTAAGAATTATGTCGGATTTTTTTTTTGTCAAAAGTTATAAACGCTTTTGCTCACGTTGCACAACTGTTCCTATGGCACCTGTATAAGCTAACAATACGCAGGTTTTGTGTTTTCATCTTGTTTCGCTGCCCCCGAGTGGTCAGAAAAATCTAATATTGTTTTAAGTGTATTGCACTGTTTGCCTGAAAATGCACCTTTTAAAATCAGAGAACGTAAAAAACTTCCCAAACAACGAGGAGTGAGCTGTAACATAAGGATGGAGCAGAACGGCCATGGTAGAATGAAGTTTGTGTTTTCTGAGTTAAAGAGAAAACACCTTTCACCTTCCTGCCTGGATAAAGACGGAGCCCTAGAAGCGATTGACAAAGTCAAAATGTAACTCACGGTGGGACAGGATACCTTGAAGACCTTTAACCCTGATATACAGAATGTTTGCACTAAAAGAAGGCATGTTTATAATGACTTTTTCAACAAATTCTTTTCATTTGATTCTTATTTTTAATTAACCTAAACACTGAATACATTATTTTTGCCCTAACTACAGTAAAATTGGCCCTAAAACAGCATAAAAAACTGATTTCACTGAAAATTTGAGAAGCATCTTACGGCATTGAGGCCACAGAGCTGATAACAGGCCATGGTGACGATGACTGTGATGAGCTGCCAGCGCACAGCTGGGTTCTTCAGCAGCTGGAACACAGAGACGATGTACAGATTGTCCTGAGCTCGAGTCTCCACGTGGACCTCTTCCAGCTCCCGGGACACGTCTTTCTTCCCTAAAAACCTCTGAAAGGCTGACACACAAACATTCACAGGAGCACATCGTTAAAAATACAGAACGTGCAAGAACGCTCAGAAACAACCATCGTGCTGAGATCAAAGACGCTGAGGATTTGTTCCACAGCAAATTAGAAGACATCCTCTGAAATGGAGCAGTTTGTTAAAAACAGAACATCCACTTAGACCGCATGAAAACGCAAACATGTTTTCTGCAGCTTTGTATCAAGTGTACTTGCAAGTAGAGTAAACTGGGTCCCATGTCTTTGTAATCAACAGTCTATATTAAAATTTGGAATCATGCACACTTCTTTACTACTTTTTGCCTCCAGAAAGTGAGTCCAGTGTGTAACGCTGGTTAACAAAGCAGCAATGAAAGACTCAAAGATGACTGCTGCTCAATACATATAAAGTTTGTTCACAATAAAACTGCAGAGGGCACCGATCGTTATTGTTCTGGTAAAGCTGGGAACATGTTAAACTTGGTATGTAAATGGATATGTGTAACAGCTAACAACAACGAAAAAAGATTGGTTGCAGGTGACCCACAAAACAACATGTACACAGAAATGACCTTTATGAGTGTTTTGCAGGTGAGCTGTATGAACAGCAGCAAGTCTGCATTTAGAGGAGGTGGGTGTGGTGGATGCAAGACTAAAACACACTCACCCAACAGAGTGGGGTGTTAGAGTTGACCTACTATTTGTTTTTTTATTACCATCATTATGTTTGGTTAAGTTTGGGAAAGTAAACTACTTTTACAACAAAACTACTTGGTTAGAAAAACATCATCTCTTGTGTTAAAATAGTCCCTTTTACAGCATCAACCAGATGATCGATCGGCAACAAGCTTCTCCTCTATTTTCTTGGTTACCAGGTTGCTCAGTTCAGCCCCATCTAATATATCACTGGTTGTCTGAGAAGGAGACAGTGGGATGATGAAACCAGTGCTTTTTCTGTAAAGTTCAGGGACATGTACTTATTCCCTTGACTGCAAGAGGTCCCCTATGTAACCATCTGTCATTTTGTGAAGTGAACGAAGCTATCTAAGGTGGACCTGGCTCCAGTGGTAAGAATCCCATTTATTATTGCCCCATAGAAAACATTAAAGCAATTCTACAGCATGGATCAGCATGAAACTCTCCTGGTTCAGTCATTAGTCCAAATGATTTATAACCCCATTTGGTAACACTTTATAATAACTATCCGTTATAACTAGTTAATAGATCATTTGTAAACTGTTAACTAGTGCGTTATTAACCACTTGTTAAGTGTTTGTTAATAGTTTGTTGATGATTTATAACAATGCCTTATAGATAGTTAATAAACCATTTACAAACTGTTAGTGAGTTATAAATGACTTGTTAACTGTATATTAATGATTTACAGCCATACCTTATAAACCAGTCATAGTTTATTCAGTTTATTCCTCATACATTAAAGACAATGTTCAACATTCTATCTGTTGTATATCTTTGGTAAAATATAATACACAGAAAAGTCTATGGGTGGAAGAGGGTTGAGGTACAAAACTGTGATATTTTAAATATCACATCAAATTTCTGTACTTTGAACTTGTTCCACCCATTTGCTGTTCTACAAAGTTTCATTGGTACTGGTAGATGGTTAGCAAACTATTAACAAGTGATCTGTAAAGTGTGAGTGAATGTAGTAGTTAAGTATTAGTTATAAGCTTATGTATGTTATTGACACGTTATTCTAAAGTTGCAACTATTCCTCATTTACCAGCAGTTAATAAATGAGGAATAGTTGCAACTTTATAATAACGTCCCAATAACATATATAAACTATTAACTGATACTTAACAAGTCATTAGGAAGTAATTCACTAATTGCTTGTTCATGATCTATGACTGGTTTATAAGGTATGGCTGTAAATCATTAATATACAGTTAACAAGTCATTTATAACTCATTAAGTAACAGTTTGTAAATGGTTTATTAACTATCTATAAGGCATCGTTATAAATCATCAACAAACTATTAACAAACACTTAGCAAGTGGTTAATAACTCACTAATTAACAGTTTACAAATGATCTATTAACTAGTTATAACGGATAGTTATTATAAAGTGTTACCCAACATTTTACCAAAATATCAGGTTGTTTTAATTTTTAAAAAAAAGCTGATCCGCCATTGGTGAGCTAATATCTGTGCAGACTCTCAGTCATAGTGGTTATTGTGACCCTAAATGCTTATGTAGAAGACAGCAGGACCTCTTCTTGGTTGAGAAAACACAATCTACAGCTTGAATTAGGTCACTTTTAAATTCTGTCAGTTTGGAAAGAATTCAGCAGCTTTGACAAAGACCACGTTGAATTTCCTGTTAATCGACTTTGCCTTCCTGACTGGATCTTCTGGCAGTAGTCGCCGAGGCTCATGGGTAAATCGTAATAGACCTCGACAAAATGTGATTTCACTGAAGGAAAGCGAAAATAATTGAAACTGGGGGGCTTCAACGTAATGGTTTCTGTGTTACGTAACATTCTCATTTTATTTTAATAAGTGGGTGGTGTTTGTATGTTGGGAATAACTGTGAAATATTAAAAGAATTGACTTTGCAATGTATGCATTCAGTACATTTGTTAAGTCTTGCTTATATGCACACTGCAAAAAACTGTATTGATTTACAAAAAAACTCCACAAGGTACATTAGAAGTCTAAGGATTCGTGATGTTCTCTGAGGCTGCATCTTGGTCCCATCAAGATCTCAGTTTAAATGCCTCCTCTGGGATACATAATTTATCAACATGATATTAATTTTTAGTGCGCTGCAGATGGCTCTCAACCATCTTTGTCTGCTAGCTGTGGTGATTTAAGGAAATTAAATGCTCTGAAACATGGTTTTCTCCTCAGCTGAATGCAGACAAAACTTAATTTGATTTACACAACAAATGAATGTGGTTGCATTAATTTGAGATAATTTAAGATTATTGATACAAGGCTATTTTCATATTCTTTTCAACCTGTGATATGCACGTAGTTTATATTTGAGCAGGTTTCACTTTCAACTTGGTCGGTCAAAGCTCGTTTGAACTTGTTCTACTCCAATGTGACGGACTGAAAGGAATAGGTTGGTATAAAGATGTGTCTTCTCTCAATTTGATCCTTTCTCCTGTAAGGGTGAATCCCCGGCGTTATGGGAACCTCAGGTGAGCACAAGATTAAGGACAGAACCCAGAATAGCAAATCTCTCCCGACGGTCAGGGGCTGAAATCAGGTCATTAGGATGTGGGAGTCCAGCAGCACACTGACAACACGACACACAGTAAGACCTGCCAGACTAAAGCCTGCATGTCTCACGGGTGACCTGGTACAGTATTTGACAGGTCTGAGGATTCTGTGAGTGTGTTCCTGTGTGTGCTTAGTGTGTGGATGCAACTGTGCAAGATGGGATGTTGAGTTCTGACACTGATATGCTAAAAGAGAGAAAGAGTGGGAACATTATATCCCAAAAAAGCTGTTTGTTTTACAGCTACAACATTAAAACCATCTGCCTCATACCCTATAGGCTTCATTCTGCCAAAACCCTTCTGACCTGTCAGGTGACACAGGGCCTCTGTAGGGTGTCCTGTCTGATCCTTTGGGACTTGCAGGTTTTGTGGTGCAGAGCTGACATGGAAAAGGTTTGTTCCAACAGATTTTACAAACAAATTGGGATCTGGGGAGTTTGGAGGTCAGGTCAACCTCTTGGGCTTTTTGTTGTGTTTCTTGAGCCAATTCTGAGCAGTTTTTGTAGTGTGGAGGGGCACACTGTCCTGCAGTGGGAAGGTCGCCAGCATCTAAGTTGATCAAAGTCTTTCACTCCCCATGTCTGTGGTTTTAATGTTGTGGCTGTTGTTTGACCTCGTTGTCCCAAATACTGTTTCATTTCAGTGCAGAAGAAGCAATAAACAAACTAAAATGAGATATAATACAACTTCGAAACAGAAAATGGGGGGAAAAAAAGCAGGAAAAATACTAAACAACCAAGCTATTTTGGTCATATAATATTTAAAATCCACTGTACAATCAGCCTCTGTGTGGAGTTTTAGATTTCTGAATGTAAAATACCATCAAACGTGCGAAGCAGGTACCGTTCTCGACTGTTGCAAAGTTCTACATCCTCCCTATAATGAAAATTTCAGCCAACGGGTAATGACTTGAATTCTCGCCCTGAAACACACTTTGTATGAGCCACGACCAGATCAGGTAAGTTCATTCAGCTGCAGGTTGTGCAATGTTCAAACAAACTGATTTTTTTTACTTCACAATCTGTAAATGGCAAAATCTAAATACCATGACTTAAAAAAAAAAAATCTACAGTGATGTGAGGACAATAACAAACTTCAGAAAGGAGGGAAAACAGCCATCATGCTGAGATAATCCACAGTTACAAGTAATTGCCTCTGGGAAATCTTATCTCAATGTAATTATTATCTAGATTTGCACATGTAAATGAGTATTTAATTGCTTCTCCCTGCTGACGGAAAATATGGAAACCTGCTTTAATCCACAATCACGCTGGGGCTGTCCATGCAATAGTAGGACATGATATTGATGTTTGTAGGAGTATGGCAGGATGTCCAACAGTGTCAGTGTCCCTGTTGAGGCATCCAATTTTATTTTCCCCGCGGGCCGACAGTGGGGTTCCACTCCGTGACACTGTTGTGACCAGACGCTCGCAGTGTCACAAGGTGGAGTGGATGTGATGCAACCAAGAACCTTTCGACACAGCGGAAAGCCCTTATGGAGCGGCGTGAAAATTTAAATATTTAGAGATGGTCTGAAGGGACTGACTAGCATGTTAAGGTGCAGGGATAGCTGTTGGAATTCAAAGGATGAGGCTGGTGTTATTTTATATTTCACTTAATGTCAACGAGGCACATGAAAATGCTAAAATGAAGAATCCGTAGCTTATCTCTTCAACTAGTGCTGTCTTGTCTGTTGACCCTACGACCTATAGCTCCTACTGGAAATGCATATCTCAAAGAAAATGTAAAATTAATTCATCTAG